AAGTACTAACTGATTAAAAAGATATTAAATATAATTCAATCAAGTTAGCTATGTATCTGTCACAAGGCGAAATTCTCTGCCAAAAGTTAATCATTTCTATTAACAAAATTCGGAATTTACAGTAAAAACGCAATAAATATTAAAAAATACATCTCTGTACTGTAGCTAAGATCAAATTGTAATATTCCACACAATTTCTCATATTCGAAATACACCAAAAGTGGATATTCAATATTGATTTTCAGCTACTTTCTGAGATTGTACAAACAAAACAACATCCTTAATTAAAACTACAATTTTAAATTAAAAATAGCCCACATAGGCACATCCTTCGAATAAACTTTCTTGCCGTTACTTGAAGATTTGTGAATTCGATTGATTGATGCAACGAAGCAAGATTGAAGAAGCTCAAGGGAAATTAGTATCTTTGAACACGAGGATGACAAAAACGAAAGTGAGAAATCGACGAAGCACGATGGCGAACACCGAGTCGTCACCCTGAATGAGCGATTGCAGCGGCGTCACACGACGCCGACCCTGCTATCGGGCCCGACGAGGATGAGCCCGAAGGGACCCGGGAACCAGGACGGCCCGAAGATGGAGGTGCGGGTGTCGTGCGTGCCGACACCGGGCGCCGAGCCACAGGGCATCCGCGTCCGGATACCGGAACCGAAGAAACGGCCCATGAGCCCTCCTCTTCACGAGTCCGTCGCGATGCGTACCAGATGTCCGTCCGTCCCGGAGAAGGATTTCTACCGGAAGACCTCGTCCCTGGATCGGCGGGAGCGTTACCCCACCCTATCGGGCGCGGAAATCAAGCGAGGCCTCATTCCCGATTCCGCGGAAGCGCCGCAGACCCGCAAGCGGAACCCGATGCTGGATCGGAGGAACCGATATCCGACCATCACCGGCGCGGAGCTCCGACGAAGCATAGCGATTGGCAAGTGTCCTCTCGAAGACGGCCTGGATCTCAGCTTGGCTCCGTGGCCCGGCATGAAATGGGCCTGCGTCCGAGTACTGCACCTCTATTGCAAGGTGTTCGACCAGTTCGAGTTGTTTGAGCTGATTGTTAGGTAATTACGTGAACACGGTTGATGATATCAATATGTGGCACTTACTAAAGTGTAAATCTAAATTCTTATATCACTAATACAAAATATGTATATATTTCTACTATAAAGCATATATATTTTCTCAATGTCTCCTATCTATTATATATTAAATATTAATTATATTAAATATTAATTACATTATATATTAAATATTAATTAATTCTATGTTAATTTTATATATTAAATATTAATTATGTTAATATTTAATACATGATAATTAATATATAATTAATTATATTAAATATATATATTAAATTTTAGATGTAACGCTTGAAACAATTTTCAGAGAACACTTAAGCTTTTTATATATAAGATCATTCAGAATATTAATAGAATTCAAATATATAAATTTATTTATATATTTTCTCAATGTCTCCTATCTATTATATATTAAATATTAATTATATTAAATATTAATTACATTATATATTAATTATTAATTAATTCTATGTTAATTTTATATATTAAATATTAATTATGTTAATATTTAATACGTAATAATTAATATATATAATTAATTATATTAAATATATATATTAAATTTTAGATGTAACGCTTGAAACAATTTTCAGAGAACACTTAAGCTTTTTATATATAAGATCATTCAGAATATTAATAGAATTCAAATATATAAATTTATTTGAATTAAAAATGTGAGTTAAGAACATATATTTTTTAACCATAGTTTATAAATTCTCTTCTAAGAATAAATTTTACGAATAAAGATTTATCTTGATACCGATGTTTTGGAGAGGAAAATAGCACTTTTTTAAAATTACTCTATTCAAGCTATCTTTGGTTTAATTGACTAATTATTGACCACACTTGTTTACGAAAGATGTTATAATCTGATCAATCATGAAGCTTTTAAAAAGCCGCTAACGTTCAGACGGCCAGTGAATACAGCGTGAACGCAATTAGTTGCCGTTAGTATCAATTAGGCGAAGCCTGTAATAGTTTTCCAGTGACTGCTTTACGATGGAAAACGGCGAGAAAGCAACGCCAAGCCAAACCCACCAGAATGATTTATGTCGGGCTGTGTTTGTAGGTTAATGAAGTTGATTTTTGCGCATATACGTGTCTGCTCGCGAATCAGATTTTATTAGGCATGCGATCTATTTTTTATCGCTATTGTTATTGTCTTATTATGCTATATAAGATATGCGAGAGATTATTGCAAGTTCTTTACGTATAATTCTTTGATCAATAATTCGGAAACAATTTATTTCTAATACATTACATAGTATTAATTATCAGACCAATCATTTTATTTTAAGACAAGATATATTTTTCGTCTTTCTTTCTGCCTCTTTTTTAGTCGTATTAATATAGTGTAAGACGATATTGTGATGTATATCATTTTTTATTCCTATTTTTTTTATTCCATTTTTTTATTCCTATTTTAATCATATTTTTATTCCTTTTTGCATCGTGACTTGCGTGTTTTTTTCTTTTTTGCGCGCGTTCTCGACGTCCTTTATTTTTTGTAAAAAAAATTTCTCGAAATTTATCGTGCTGTTCCACACGTGTTACATTTCCTTAATAAATTAAACTATCGTATCGGTGCCAAATATCTAATATGATTCCGAAAGTAAATTTGATGTTTTAAGTCTCGATTGAATCATAAAGTACACTAGAGAAATATATAAAGTAATATAAATTGCATTATCACAAGCAAATAATGAATTCTTGAAAAAACATGTAGAAATAATTCTATATAAATTTTTATAACGAAAATTAAGATATATTGACGTGTGATGTAATATGTTATGAAATTTATGATATTTTTAAAAATAGTTGTTACGTAATAAAAATGAATAGTAAAGATGCTATATATGTAGTAATAAATTCCTCTCAAATAAAAAATAAAAAGTTCTGTCTTTTCCATATTACTATTTAATATACATATTTTTTGATTATACTTGTAATTTATTAAATATATTTGATTTTTTATCATAACACTAGATAAGAGATAAAAATAGAAAAAAATTTTTGAGTGTTATTTATGTGTTTGCTTTTGAATTGATGATGATAAACACATGATTTTCGAGATATTAATTCAAACGAATTATATAATCCACACAAGCAAATATAATATCACAGATATTCATCAAATTAATGAGGCGTCAACATTAATTTGTTCAATCTTATATAAAATATCGAAATACATTCGACAAGTCGTGTAAGATTCAGGCTGTAACGAGAATCGAAGAAAGAGACGAATAAACGCCTTGTAAAATTTACGATGACCTTTTATAGCACAAGATTTCTCGCGAGACCGCGTTATGGTTTGTTGGTGAATACAATAATTGTAAGACTGACATTATGCACATGACATTATGCCTTTGGAGACACCTTTTAAAAAGAAAAGAAATACAATAGGGCATAATATGGTGTCTTTAATATCTCTGAATTTTTATGTGCCATTATAAATTTAATATGTCACTGTATCTATTGCAAAATTTTAGATAAGACACAATCATGTTATAGAGACTAGACAATGCAAATTGTGTAACTTGTTATATATCAGAAAAAAAACAATAATAATCGCACATGGTAAAATACACACAAATATTATTATTTTCGTATTAATAATTTATATAAATCTTGTATATATTTCAAATATATATATATATATATATATATATATATATATATATATATCAATGTACAGATAAAAATGTGTCGTTTTTAAAGAGAATTTATATTCTGAAGAAGTAAATTAAATTAAATGTCAAATATTTACTTTATGATATTGACGTCTGCAAAGTGATTTTACGTAAAAATAAAAATACGCAAATAAGAAGGAAAAAATAAATTCTTACCGCGATATATAATTCGAGTTCTTATCCGAGAATCACATACGAGAAACGTAGATATAATCACGAGGAAAAGGTCTCCCTCGCATTAATGGTAAGGGTCTCGATGACCTTGGAATCCGGAAGGGTGCGGTAGCAAGCCTTCATAAATGAACGCCGCAAATGCATCTCCTTGATTATACGATCGACGTTCGATACGATAGACCCAGTATCGATCTATTCCGTATACGTTCTTTTCGCAAGTAAAAGTTTCCTGTCGCACCCACATGCCACATGCATTTCGATATCTTTTCATATCAGGCTACGAATATCATATTTTACCTGTCGCGTTAATCTCACCCACGTTTGTTGCAAAGCTATTCGATCTACGATTTATCAATTGTCACTGATGAGAGATTGTTAAATAAATGCGATACAAATAAAAGGTTATAGATATGAAGAACTGCGTTTACAATTATCTATTTACTGAATATCTATTTATTTTTATGGAAAATATGGAAATAAAATTTTTTTCAGAACTTTAAATATTTCTTCTTGTTTTCAACTTATTGTTTTGTAGTCTCGCAAGTTTTGATACAATTATGGCGATTATATCTTAACGTCTCTCTATAATATTGCATTAATATTTAGTTACCTAATTATCGAAGTAATTAACGTGATGACGATATTTAGCATCATAATGAATGAAATAATAATTGATAATTGTCGAAAAACTAGCTATGAACGTTTAGAATTAACAACAATTACATCGCATTTTTGTAGGAAAAAGAGAAAAATGAATGTAAAGAAAAAAGATTATTGGTCCTCGGTCTAATTAAGCAATCATCTCGAGCGCGTATAAAGATAATAAAAGTTTATTGGATACTTCATATATCACTACACATCACGTTCAGAGTTAATGAACAGCGGCAAATATTGATCAGAGAGTATCCTAGATAGAAAAAATCGAGAGACTTTAATAGATTACAAGATTCTAACAATCTTTTGATAATTAAATCAAAATTTACATTGATTATATTGACGATATAAAGATTTTGTTATTCATATCGAGGATTTATTTTTCTTTCAGAAAGAACTGCACCAGCTGTAAGTGTCCGCGAGAAACCCACGATGTTTGTCACGAAGAGTGGGTGTCTGTTAGGTCACGTTTGGGACTTAAAGGCGACGAGTCGAGCGGACCCATTGGTGTGGATCCTAGAGAAAGAGGTCTCGCTTGGGCGCCCCCCGGACTTCCATCGCATAAAGTAATTATATTTTTCTATTTCCTCTTATTTGTGTATGTGTGTGTGTGTTAATATAAAAGTGGATATTAATTAAAATGGATACAAATTATATGTTTGAGCTATGTTATACGAAGAGATATCAAGAGATCGCTGTTTTCTATTTAATTTGCTTATTATCGGGTCCTAGATATTTACTTAATAATTAAAATGGCATAATGCGTAATAAGATGACAGATAAATGAAAACATTACAGATCTATTACACATAATGAAAAGTATTTCACTATCTATGTATCTAATCAATTAAAATGATTATTATAGCAAAAAATCATAGATACAAAACATATCGCGATCAACAAAAAAAAATTCTCATGAATATTTTTTATAAGAGAGAGCTTCCGAGTCGATTCAATTTATTTATATCACATCTTTTATTTTTTACTTTTTACAAAAGTATCTTTATCTCTCAATCTTTTAATTTTTAATTTTCTACAAGCATGACTATCGCATTCTAATTATTGGAAAATCTTTATGCGTCTGTCGCCATTCGTGCACGAAGTGCAACGGACGGGGTGGTTCCCTTAAACAGTCGTTTGCGGTTTATATCGCGAAGCGAATAGGATAATAACGGATGATTGTGGGCGAAGAAAAGGTGGAGGTGCGGAATTGTGCACACGGTAAAATTGTAGATGCGCAAGACGTTTGACGGCCGACGAGAATCTTGCCTGGCATTCCGCCAGTTTTCCGTATTTTTCGAAAAGCTCCGACGCAAAGCTTTATGACTTCGAGCTGGCCTTTATCACCGTCGGCGTGCTATATTACGGAGCGATTTTACTCCTCACGATTTTTACGAGTCCCAGCCACTTGCGACCAATCAGCAGTGTGATGCATTTATGATGTTTTCGATATCCGGGATATTGAACCGCATCGTGTAGCTTGTTAGCACGTTCTTTCGCCATGGGGATATAAGCGAAAAAGAAATCATAGTTCTCATGTGCAAGAGCCAGAAAAAAAAACACATTCGCAATAATATTGGTACTCTCCGAGAGAGATATTGTAAAGAGATACCGTAATCAGATCCCGTTATCATAAACATAATATTTGTCGAAGGAAAAGAGATTAATCATCAATTTCATTGTATGTGTGTGTATTATATAATTTTACAGTTATTAGCTTATTTTATACCCGTCAATTTGCACGGTTTTATTTTCATGTCATCTCTCGCAGAAAGAGTTCAAGTAAATATTCAAAAGAAACAGATCCATGAATTTTTCTCGTAAATTGCTTGTTTTATTATTTTTGTGTGCATAATCTATAGAATAAATTTTTTTTATATCAAGATTCAACAGATATATATTTGATGTAATTTTCCAATTTTATATAAAATCAATTTTTTTTTCATGAAACAATCTATCGTACTCTATAAAATAAAAAAACTTTATTACTTTTATATAAATTAAATTTATATAAATATATATAAATTTATATAAATTTATATTAATATTAAAATATTTCTTTACATTTAATAATCATGTAAAATATAAGAAATTAAAAAAATAGATATTAATGTTTTTAATTAACCAAAGAAAAATTATTTACGTTGCATTGATGTCTTTTTCATATTAATAACAAAATTTATCAGCACTCATTTGTATTTATTTGAGTAAATTTGCAATTTATATATAATATATAAAATATTAATGAAATATTTTAATGAAATTCTAATGCTAATAAAATTCTTGCAGATAGAGGAATATTTTTCGATGCTACCAGAAATTGCTATACCGAGACTCGGCACGCCTGGCGAGCGACATAGAGATCGTCAATTGGCGATCCAATTGCCTAAACAAGATCTAGCAAGGGCCTACTGTCGACACTTGGATCCCAAACATGCCAGCAGCGCCGACGATTTTATGGCTGCCAGAAACGAGATCGCCCTGGACATCGGTAGCGTGCAGGAAGTTTTCGAAAGAGATCTCGTACGTACAAGCTTCAGTTTTCGGCGAAAAGTACAAAGGAATATTCCAAATATTTTATATTTTATAAAGTGAAAATTTGATAACTGCTCGTCAAGCGAATCCTTTCGATTCAATTTTATTATTTATAAATTCTAAAAATTATTAAAAATTCTAAGAATTATTAGAATTCTAAGAATTATTAGAAATTGTAAGAATTATTAAAAATTGCTGATATTATATTTGACCGCTAGTGAGATTAATTTTAAATCGTAAACGAATGTGTGTGTATTGATATCGACGTTTCTAATACTCGCTTTTGTTTCCAGGAGTGCGGTGTGTGCGGATTGCCTCTGAAGTATGGAAGTCTCGCTGTGTCAGCCAGCAAACTGGGTCTCCTTTATCATCCGGCCTGTTTCAGCTGCGCGGATTGCAAAGAGCTTCTGGTCGATCTTGCTTATTGCGTGCACGATGACACGCTTTTCTGCGAGAGGCATTATGCGGAACAGCTTAAACCGAGATGTGCTGCATGCGATGAGGTGAGTAATCACATTTTTAAAACCGTTATTCGTTATATATGAAACATGTATAATAACTAGTTGACTTGAGATTTAACGTTCTCCTGATTTATTATTGTGTAGAATTCGCGTAAAAAATTTGTACCATTTTTACTAGTAATTTCATATATCATAAAAAATTATATTGATCAAATAATCTATAAAATATTCTATCATTATAAAATGAAATTTTAATATACTGAAGGTACAAAACCAATGATTTCTTGAATTACTTTAAATTTTATTTGTTTAGCTTGAATATTAAGAAATTTAATAATAAAAGATTAAAAAGTTAATGTTAAAAAATTTAATAATGAAAGATTAAAAAAATTAAAAAGAAATTGAATTGAAATTAATCATAAAGAATTAAATTGAATTTTAATAATAAAGAAATAAAAATTGAATACAAATGAAAAAGAAATATATGATAGAATATCAATTTAAAAAGGAAATTAAAAAACTATTATAATGTAAAAATATCAAAATTCAGAATTTGAGAAAAAATATATTAATATTATAAGTAGTATTATAATATTATAGTATTCGACATATATAAATTTAATATAATAATTTAATGCATCATTTCATAAACATAAACATAAATAAAATTTCCAAATCATTCTTGAAAGTTGCAGAAAATTTGTTAAACTCTTATTCAATATTTTAATTATTTAATTAAATATTTATTTAAACAAATTAAAATCAGAAACTCCCTCTTGATATAAATCAAATATTTATATTCAAAATCCATTCTTTACAAAGTAACAGAGAGTTGATGTAAAATCTGTTAACATCAAATTTATCGTTAGGCGTTAATGAAGAAAAGTCAAAGTAGTCGAAGCAGGTAATCGTCAGACCGCAGTGGATAGTGAGTTTATCCGCAGCCGTCTGCCTTACCGGCGACGATACATATCTACTTAATGCAATATCTTGCAAGAGTCTGGTATTGACAATAGATATTAATATTCGCAAATAATTTTATTTATGATTTGGATGAAAACGCAGTTATATAAAGATCGATATAAATATTCCTTTAGCTCGATATCTTCTATACATTATTATTATATGAAAGATAAAAAATAATGTATAAAAATTTTAAATTGAAGAGAGAACGAGAAAAAAAAACAGAGAACACCAGTATTTTTAAATTTAAGATTGCAATATCACATATAAAATTAATTGCAATTCGATCTATACCCGAATGCATTTATTCCCGGAATGTGTTGAAATAGTCGTCTTGCCCATTTAAGGCACTGTCGCGATGGTGTAAGAGGCTATGTTTCGTGCAAAGATATCCTACATCATCTCGCCAGACGTTTTATTACGCCGATGGCATTGGTTTTACATTAAGAAAACTTGAAATCTCGATGACCCAAATATAAGAGTACTTGTCAAGGTAAATGTTCAGAGTACCGGCAATTTGGTTTTCAATGATCACGATTCACATTCAGCTGCAACCGGTTGTCCACAGAGAGATGCGCATCTATCTTTCCACTGCACAAAAATCTTTACATTTATGCGAAACAAACTGGCAGATTAAAATCTTGTATGTCTTGTGATTAAATTTTGTTAATTTTTAATTTTTTTAAATAATATTATTACATTATATTTTTTTGTATAATATATTCATGTAATATTGTACAAAGAAATATTTAAAAAATTAATAATTTAAAATAAAACAGCTGGAAAAATATCTTCTTTTTGGAATATAATTCTTTATTTAAAAAAAATACATTTGCATATTTACTTTTTATACAAATGACTACATAAATGACATAAACAGATATTTCTGTATTTGATCACAGCATTATTGGCTTTGATAAATTTTTTTTAAAAAATAAAAATAAATTTGAAGATATCGCGTTAACGATCCTTTTAATAAAAACTCTTACTTAGCTATCTAATACTTTAATATGTATACGCATACACATATCTGTTTATTGCGATTCGTTTGGACACACTATATACCACGAAATATTACGTGAAATGGCGCAACAGATATGAAAGAAGAGATATTAGTCTCCTCTTAAAATATCTAAAGAATAATAATAAATGTCGCGCGAAATCGTGCGCTGTTGTCTCGCTTGTTGCGCAGAAACTGGGCCACTTTCGGCTTTATTTAGATGAACCAAAATAGAGATCGAGGAGGATAGCGAAGGTACATCCGTCGTTCGTCACTCTTGGAAATGTGCAATGCAAATTATATTACGCGGATCACATCTCGCGAAAATTCTCAAGTTTTTATTGTTGATTTACCAAGTTAATTGACCATTATAATGATTTATATGAATTGAAATATTATGTTCAAGAAATTGATACTAATGTAAAAATATAAAAACCGCGAAAAGCATTGAATTGAGCATTTATTATAAACTTATTCATGTTGATCGAAAAGACGCATGCGTGCCAAAAATTTTCAAGAAGAAAAGATTGTCCATTGAATATGAAAATTAAAAGTATCCCGACATTTTAATTGAATTTAATAAAGATTTAATAAATTATATAATTACAAAACATGTAACTAATGAAGAATTCTTTGTAAAATAAAAGTGCTGATAATATATAGTGCTTGGATATTTATTCCTAAATATTTTATTATGAATTCTATTCTAAATTAATATTAAAAATTACGATTTTTGCTGATAGGTTCAAGAAATTACGTAATATGAAAGTGATTTGAGAGACACATTTCGATTGTTCGACTTGTCGAGGCTGCAGAATTTGGATGCATCCATGAAATATGAACTATTTTCTCAAGAAATGTCATCTTAAATTGATTTTAACCCAACCGGAAATCTCGCGCTTAATCCTTTGGCCAGTAATCTATTTTGATTCCTTGTCGAAGCTCCCACCACGTTGAGATCTTCTATCCAGAGACTGACCCGTTCGGATCTTTTATTAGAGCCAGTCAGAGAGTTTCAGGAAGGGAACGAAAGACGACGAAAGTGCGAGAATAAATCGCCGTAATATCCTTATCGCGATAGTAGAATCCATATTTTCAATCTATGGAAAATCGATCGAACGATCTCTTTTCCCCGCTAATCGATTAAAGCTGAGAAAGAAAGTGACCGTGTCTTTGTTTCCTTGAAACAAAATCCTTCGTGACGGCCAGCGGTCATTCGAGAAAGGTGGTTTCGAATTTCGGTAAGTGAAGTGCGCCAGCGCGTAGGCAGACATGGTTGCGAGATAATCGCGCAAGGAAAAGTGTTTACGGGTCAGCTGCCAAGAGATGTCCGCAAGCGCGAACAGTCGGAAAGAAAAAAAATCGTCGCGTAAAAATCACGCGCAAGATGGCAAAAATTCGCCGCTAATTAATTTATGTCTGTATATCTGATAATAAAGTATACGCAAACACACCCCGAAACAACATGCATACATTTCCCTCTCCCATTCATAAAAAATTACGCGCGCCTAAAAATACAGAACAATTTACACAAAGACAATTCACGTTAATACGTTTACAATGTTGCGAATATTAATTAAAAATTGTACCCGATCGTCTAATGATTGAGTAATGGAATATAGCGCGATATTTAATTTAAATTATTATGGAAAAATCAATCTAATAAGTACTCCAAAATATTGACGAGATCGTTACGAATTTTATTTATCGAAAGTGTGTATTGTATAAGCAAAGATTCGATTTTTACGCGAAGAGACGCACGACAGTTGACGTTTCCTGTCGAGACTTTGCGAATGTTCTGAGCTTTCGACAAGCAAGTAGCGGAATTTATACAAAAGCATGGCGTAAGAATGACGCAACATGTCGTAATCGCTGTAAAATTCTGGCACATTGTCTATTTCGGGCGACAACAGGATTTTTGCAACATCTAACCGCTGCGCATAAATCAATAGGTGAATTTGCGATTGTAATATTCTATTAATATTTATTTAACAATATTGCATTTTTTATGTAACTGATTTACCAATAAAATTAGTTAAATATATAATTAATTTTACTCATTTATTTCTTAAAATGTGCTTTCAAAAAAGATATTTCCGAGCACGATAAATATATATTAAATATATAATATTTTGCGATTTTTTATCTTACAAGTTAAGAAAGAAAGACTATCTTTTCTCGAAAAATAATTAAAAGTAAAGTAACACAATGTGTACATTATTAAAACTGTTTTCTTAAATTGATCGCATCATCATTTCGTAAAGAAATGAATTTGCAAAGATATTCTCTCGTATTTCAAGAAGACTTAAAGTGATTTATCACTTTTTGAGTTCACTAATTTGTTGGTAAACGCTGTTGGTAAACATTTACGCGTTTAATAAACGCTTAAATTAGATATGTAATATAAGCAACGCAGATAAATAATAAATATACTAAATACAGTAGTAAATCTGCCATTTTGTCCGTAGTATTAGATATGATTGATTATGATTTAATTTTGGTTGAAGCTTTTTTAATAGCAAAAAATCATTATTGACGAAAAAAGAGAAAAATTATGTTAAAAATTCTCTCTTTTTTAACCAATATATTCCAGAGAATTACTTTAAGTAATCAACTTATTTGTTCATACATATAATATCTGACTGACATTTTATACATACATATATTATTTCTTAAAATTTATATTCTCTATAAAAATTGTGTGATAAAATTAGAGAAAATATATTTATCAAAAATATTTGTTTTCTAATCTATAAAATTTAGATTTAGAAAAAAATATTTTTTTTTTATTATTTCTTTAAACGCACTTGTTTATATGAATATTTTATATTCAAGTAGACAATAAAGCAGACCAAGTAGAATGATTTAAATAACATTTTACGTTTCCAATGTAATGACAGCCAACATTGTGCAATCTGCAGATGAATGGCGTCTAACAAAAACAATTAGAAAGTCAGTGACATCTCAATAAAGAATACCACTTGATGGTGAAGGGTTGCGCGTTTCAAACGCCAGACATTCTAGCTAGGTCTTTGCACTTGACCACTTCCTGGTTGCCAGAACGACACCTTGTCTCGAT